AAACTTCCGCCAAAAAACAGCCCCGTTACCACACCCAACCGGCAACCCCACCCCTAAACAAAAACGGCGGCCCCCCCCCCCCCCCCCCTTAAAAGAAGTTTACAAATCCCTGAGATTTTCCAAAAGGGTTTCTGCAAAATCCATTAACGCAAATATGCTTTTTCGATTTTTTCGACCTTATAATCACGTTTAGGGGAGAAAATCGATCGTATCCTGAAGGTCTGAACTCGTTCCGATGTTTATTGAGTGAAAAGTGAACTTTTTAATAGTTGAAACGAGCTTGAAAATCCGAATTTTCGTAAAACTCACTTTTCGGTAGACTTTTAGAACTGTTTCTAAAAACAAATGTTGCCACAAGACTCAGCATGATCGATCACCTATGGGCCATCCGTTTTCAAGGCTACGAATAGTCGTCGGGTGCCAGTCCTGGGACTCGCAAGAAATCCGACACAACACCCGAACCGCGGAAAACCAAGGTCTTGCTTGACTCTCATTTTGATAGCTTGGGCTATCATAGCATGGAAGAAAATCAATACAATCCTATTGAAAATTTTTACACACGGCCTGCTTTTCCAGAGATCTCCTCGCTGTTTCTCTTAGGTTTTCAGTAAAAGCCGTTTTTCTCAGCAAGGAAAACGAATTTTGAAAAAAGTTCTACATACTTTTAAAGCTGGCGTGTTGGCCAATCTGATGATGTGTGAATCATCGATATAGCCCTTCACCCAAAAAACTAGATAGATTTACAAAATGAGGCATATTCAGTTGACAGCCGTTGGTTCAGACGTTCATAGCAGACGACTGTTTACCTCTGAAACGAATTGAAAACGTTTTCTAAATCAGTTTTCAATGCTGATTCAGAAAAATATAGTTCGAACCTTCCATCTTGCAATACAAGCTCAAAAAGTCAATTTCATCGTAGAGGACGGTTTTGGGTATTTTTGAGGTTCTCTCAGTAATTTGAGTTTTTCTCCATGAAGAAATGGCTTTTGGAGGCTCGGAAGGTGTTATTCGTAATCAGCTCGTTAAGCTGAATCGGAGGATGTATAATAATGCCAAAAATCAAATTCCACTTGAAGTTTGCATTACGTGCATCTTAGTATAACTACTTTTAGTTTAGAATACTTTAATCGAATATTTTTCCTCTGTTTAAACCCTATGTGTACAAAATTCATTTTGTGTTTTTTCGGTCATGATTGTTTGGTGTACATCGCAAACTAATAATTTTGCTAGCCTTATCGACCTAAAATTTTATGAAGAACTTCGAAACTCGAAGGTAATTATAAGCTGAGTCGGTGTTCCCTTCTTTTGGTTCTTGCAACAAGCTCTTCAAAGAAAAAATCTCAGTCGTTCATTATTTCATGCTTGGAAACATAAGGAAAGATGTCCATTGCTAACTGTTTATTTTGTTATTGATATATTGATTTTTCGATATTAATTTATTTATTGATTTTACATAGGTGTATCATAAGGTGTAACACAGGATGAAGTATTTTCGCTTTGATTCAATTAAAATCCCTTTAGTTATTTTTGTAAGTTGAGAGTAAAAGTACGTTTTATTTTCATTCTTCCTATGAATAAAACTTAAAATATTTCTCTTTTAATTGAATTATGACTGAGACAGCAGTCAAAGAATGGGACATTTTTTTTTACAAGATTTGTATCCGTAAGTGAATTTTCAGATACTCTGTGTTTCGATAAATCATGAACAACAAAAGCTACAGTTTACTTCGTTCGATGAGAGATACACAACAGAAACAATCACATTTTGTCTCAAATACAAAAAGAAAGGAATCATTGATAAAAATTCTAATGCAGTATGTTGGAGATCTTTTGATCTGTCTGTTAAAACAGCGAGTCCAGAAAGATATCAAATTATATTTCTGGCAAAGCATTTTGAAACTTGATAAGACTTATAGTATTTTCTTCTCCTCTCCCATCGCATATTTAACGAAGAATAAAGCAGAATGCAGTGCACGGAATGCAAACTTGCAGTACAAATTTCTTTTCAACTTGCTACACATCGTTCGGGTTGATCGAGCTGATTAATGAAATTCAAAAGTGTTTTAAAAATTTTTATTACATGTTCAAAAATTGAAAATACTTGAAGAATGTAAACAGTCGCAAAGTTCTTCAAGTTGAAAACACTTTAGAGAACTAGTTTGGAACATCAAGCTAAACAAGCTTTTAACTTCAAAATTGATCGTAGACCGTTTCATATTCAATTTTTAACGCTGTACTCGAAAAAAAATTGCTCAAATACTTCAAACTAGAACCGAGATATTAAAGGTTTTTAAACTTCAAGTATTTTTTTAATTTTTTCAGCTTGACTCAAACCTATGCGTTGTAAAACTGTGTATCAAGTCCAAACTTAGATGAGACTGAATCTCGATTCAAGTAAGCCTTGAGCCACAGTGAGTCCGTTGCCTGTAGATCAAATTATTCGAAAACATTTTCGGTTCGATTTTCAAAAAAACATGAGCCGATCCCATCTCTGATGAACACATAGTAGTCCAACTTAATTTAAGATTATTTTTCTAAAACATATATCAAATATTATTAACTTTAATGGCAACACATAATCCGTTAAACATATTACTTACTCTATTACAATGGATAATTTATATAATATATGAATTTTTTTGTATGTTATATTATATAATTAAAGCACTATTTATTATAGTGTATTCTATTGTTGTTTTCTTGTATATTTTATTATCGTATATAATAAAATTATTCCATTTAATATTCTATTCTTTATATTTTATGTTCCATATTTTATTCTATCATTTATTTTTATTATTTGCGGGTACATATGTACGTATGTTTATTAGTATACTAATTGGATGTATAATATTTGGATATTATATTTTTGAAATAGAAAAACAAAAAAGACATAAACAAGATAAAGAGAGAGAATATATACAAAATGTATTATCTAATCAACAACTATCAATAGTAGAAAAAACTTATTACGAAGAATGTAAGCACTATTATCGTCTAGTAGGAGTACCATTAATATCAATTTCTAATGAAATTTATGATAATAATATTGAATTAATATCATCATCAATAAAATTTGGTATTGATGAAGATTATAATAAATTTAATTTACAAGAATTTTTAAATAAATTTTGTAATATATCACATATAAATATAAGTGATATAAGCATTACAAAAATACAAAGAGGTTCAATTATAGTAGAAGCAGAAATATTCAAAAACATAGATTCTAACCGTAAAAAATTAAAAATTAAAATGTTATACGATTTATATACAACTAAATTGCAAGAAGAACTTGGTAAAATGAAAATATTTTTTATGTTAATGGGTGATATTAAATTATTAAATAAAAAACAAAAATATCGTAATGAAATCAAATTAAATCCCAAATGGAATCATATATATGCTATTGGTCATACATATTGGAATAATAAACTTGATGATGGAAGAGATCGAGGTAATCAACCATATTATTGTCCAATTGGATGGAAAAGATATTCTCTATATATTACTGATGATTTTTATGCAAAATTTAAAGGATGGTGTATATGTTATCATGGTACAAAATTTTCCTATGGTCTATCTATTTTATTAGATGGAATAAAACCGGCAAGAACTATTGCACATGGTCGTGGAATATATGTTAGTCCATCAATTAATTATGCATGTCATCCAAGATATTCCGAAATTAAAAAACTTGATTTAGTCCATCAAACTAATTTTTTTAATTCTGGTAAATATATACAATATGTATTAGAATGTCGTGTTCATCCAGCTAATATAATAAAAGTAGCAACGCAAACATTACAGGCTACTACTATGATTGATTCTAATATAAATAATGATGTTATTGAATGGGTGATTAATAATAAAAATAAAAATATAATGGATTTTAATGATTTGGATGCTTCCCTTATTTGTACAGGATTAATGGTTCGTGTTACTGATAATCATCCTGGTTTATTACATGAATCACAGTGGTGGCATACAGCACATTTATGCAATAATAAAGCATGTTGTTATTTAGGTATTGATCTTAATGGTTTATATAAACAAAAAAACAATGATGATAAATGTAATATTATTTACGAATAAACAACAAGTAAATTGTTTTATAAATATTTTTTGTTTTATGCGATGGCATTAATTAGAGAAGAACCATTTCCATTTTTTTATACTACATATGTAGTTTATCGTTGATTATCGTGTGAAAAAGCAAGTTTTTCCACTGATAAGACAAATTCAAAATATAGCAACGATTTAGACATACAGAACCTATGGGGAAATTTTATCGACTTTTTCACGTGTGAGGACCGCGAAATGGAAACTTGAACTTCACGAAACGGACTGCAGGTTCAGCAGATTTCACAACATCGGGATCATGTACTTGCGACATCAAATGCGTGTTCACAAGTGGAGATTGTTCACTTGTGTACGCAAGTGTCTCTACACGTGATTACGTGTGAAAACATCTTGGCCACGGTGACCATCTATAGTCAGTTGACCATAGGTGGTCACCACTTCATCTGTAACTTTTCCTGTGATCATTAATTTCTAAAATATCATATTTTATATACATTACCACAAAATAAGAGTCGGATCAGGGTACTTTGAATTAGAAATCTACGATACTACTATTGAGCTAACTTGCCAGAGGAACTAATGAATAAATCTCTTATTCATACTTGTCGGATCAATACTCACGAGCTCCTATGTGTAGAAAAGTTCCCACGCTTGATTACTCGTGAAATTTTCTAAATCTTTTTCCGGGTTTTCAAACTTTTTTTAGTTAAAAGGCGATTCCCAGCCATATTCTTACAGAAAATATCTTCGGTCTACAGCAAAGTTTTCACCTGTATGTATTTACTTTTTGTTGGCGTTAAATATCACACACTTATTATCAGCCAAATAAACTTTCTCGATCAGAAAATTGTACCGTAAACACTTTTGTACAGAGTTTTAGGTAAGTCTTAACTAATCGAAACATTTTCACTTGTGGATAAACGTGAATAGAAAGAACTGCATGAAAAAATGTATTAACGTAAAGTGCTACCTGTTATAATAAAATTCGTTCTAGACATTCTGATGCGTGTTCGCAAGTGAAACCTTTTTACGGAAACATATAACGGGAAAAATCTACGCGCGGCCACTACACACTTCTCGAGTTTCATTAGTAGTCACGCGGTGGAAAAGTCACATATGTGTTTTCGTGCAATGTTTACATCTGGTCACCTTGACCGACATTCAGCGTATGGAGCCCTTCAAATACCTACGCAAATCTGTCGCTCGGCGGCGATGACTTCATGCAAGTCTTGCTTATCCTAGAAATTCTTCATAGCATGGAACCAGATGAATGCTATAAAACCATATGTCTTCAATACTGGATAGAACTTTATCAAAACAATTCATTAGCAATACTCAAATCGATATTTTGACCGTGAATCATCACGTCTGTGGGTGGATCCATAAAATTCTTCTTGTAATTCTAACAAACTTTTTTTTGTGTTTTCGGTTGTCATGATACACTATCCCAAGAACGATTTTTTCCATTAGATACAACTATTAAGAAGAAAATTCAGGGCCTTAAACAAGAGTTTTTCTGACAGAAAACTTGATAGTTGGAGCTTTGCTCCGTAATTTGTAAAAATAAAAACATGGAGCAGTAAGAAGTAAAGCACCCAAGAACATTACACAGTTGATGGAAATCGAACACTTGAAAACAAGCGCATGTGAACACAAAAAATGTTCGAATGAATCAAATTCTCTGCGTGTTGGAGTTAAGCGAAATCTAAATGAGTAGACCAGCCTTAATCCAACAACAACTGAATATGGTACTATTTATGCGGTTTAACTTGATTATCGAAGTTTTATTAAGAATGAATGGGGAAAGTATAAAATCCACTTTCAGTGAAATAAATCAAATACATCGTAAACAATACGTTGGCAACGCTCGGAATTCAACTTTTTTTAAATTTGGTGAAGGGAGTGTACGAAACAATTGTTTTGCTCCGCAATTTGTAAAAATAAAAACATGGAGTAGAAAGAAGCAAAGCACCCGAGAACACTACACAGTTGATGGAAATCGAACACGTGGAATTTGAATTCAAATGCAATTTATTTTTGGACAAATTAGACATTGATAGTAGACTGTGTTTCGATAATGAACAAAAAACACTACAGAGTATCTAAAACTTCACTTACCGATGCAAATTCTGTATGGAGAAAATGTTTTTGTTGTCCTTAGACTGCTCGCTCTCACTTACCACCATGTTCATCAGCAAGTTTTCCCGTTTAACAATGAGTGAGAACTAATAAAAGTACGACAAAAAAACTGAACAGGTATCTCTTTGCTCTCCAGAGTATTCTATTTAGGCTATCATGACAGAGAAATTCGTCTGTTTTTCTGTTTAAAGAATGAAATCAGCAAAGAACAAATTTAAAATTTCATCACATGTGCACCTTTTATATATTCAAGGAGACGAGGGCTTCTTATAAATTTGTTCTTTTTTCGATTTTATTCTTTAGTTAACCGAAAGAGAAGCGTCCAAAAGGACACAGTTAGATGTATGACAATTCAAACTCAATAGTTCTGGAGAACTGTAACAGTGAACTAGTAGTCATGATAAACGAGTTGCAGTTGGATGCGATAGACGCAGAAGCAGATAGGTTACGCACAGTGGGCAACTAAGCGGACATTAGGCCAAAAAGTCGATTTTATCTATCTTGAAATACAAATAGTGCAAAATGTAGCTCTTGAAATTCTCTATCGAATGGTGTATAAACGTCTATTGTGAAA